AGCAAACGTAGTTTACAAAACAGAAGTTGTGATAGAACTTCATGTAAAGTGACGAAAAACTTTTAGCGAAAGGAATCAGAAGGATCTGGTAGAAGAATCGTAGGATGAGAAGGACCAGACCAAGTCATCCACCCCCAGGACCAGACCCCCTTACCAAAGCCACATTGGATGTTATTAGTAGAGTAGGCTTACAGGTGTGTGTTGTCCTACTTCGTACCTGGAATAAAGATTGTAGCTGCTACTGGCTCGTTCCGCGGATGGTGCGATGAATCTATGGCGTACAGGGTAAAATGCTGATGATGCGTAACTCATCAAGATAATAGTCAACGATGACTTTCAGAGAATTTGACGAAGCATCAATGACTGACAGATGACGTTAAACATGTAGAAACAGCTTCCGTATATGTAATTTATCAACATCTTATAAAGTGAAATATTTTGGACTTCGTCGTTGACTATACCTCTGTTGACTATGAGCCTGAATCTGGAGCAGAAATGCTGGACAGAATTTGGTTCAAGAGCCTGCCCTCGTCAGCTGTACTACACTGAACAGAACATTCGAAAATTAAATCAGTGTGTCGAGCTTTTACGTCTGTCTTTTATTTCAGCCCTAACATGAGACAAAGTGTGTGTACCTCCGATTTCGACTCTAGGCCAGGCCATCACGCGTGCCGAAATTTAATAAGCGCTGTATTATCACGGAGACTAAACGTTCGACGTTTCTCCCTTCTAATGGATCCATGTTTACCTATACCAACTAATTTTAACGAAACAAAACTGATCAATAACATCTAACCCCACTGGCAAGGTAAAATACTCTATGAAATATCTAATTTCTAGATCCTATTCATATTGATCGTCATCAATTAAAGAATTCGCCAAATTTTCCCTTCGGACCTAAAGGTATTTATATACCACCGCTACCATACAATCATATTCAGTGTCAACAACCGTACGGAAGGTGAAGACTTTTGTCAGCCTTTTCAGATCAAAATAGCGCACAGATCTGGCTCTTCCAGACGGATAAGACACCCTTATAAATATACGACTATTAGCAAAATTTACTGCTTGGTAGCAACAATTCTTATACTATTGATTATACTACTGAAACAATTACTGATTTTGACGTTGTTACTATGGGATACTGATATAGGAATACAGAACACAGGCGACCTGATGGACGGCCTCGTTTACAAGGAAGATTCGTCCTAGAAAGACGAAAATACGGTCCAATTGCACTCTCTGTAGCTCTTGGCGGATTGGCTCATGTCTCGGTAGATGCGTTGCGTAAAAAAATGTTTGCTGTTGTAAATCTATATCTGTTCGACCTACTGGAATGAATGGCTGTATGATTACGTAAAAACACAAATGAAAGTTATACATCCAATAGTATGTTTATTCGCTGGCCAATTTACATACATGTTTACTACATCGAATATTACAGCGTAGTACTGTATAAGGCTTGTTCTATCAGATATTTATCTCGTAATGGAGGAGACGGTGCCGCTCTTTATAGGAACCAGGAAGCCAGCATGGAGCGATATAAGTAGAAAAAGTAAGTACAGCGGACGAAAATATCCAAAACTACTGCTCCCATTGATGCTCATAGACGAGTGTACCGAAAAGTACTCTCCTCTAACACTAGTAGGCTAAATAATCTAGCTACTGTAGAAGCTTCTAGCTACACGGACCTGCAGAGGCAGCTTTGGGTTTTGCTGAGGGCAGCAGTGGCTTGGGCCCCTAACTTGAATGAATCTCACGACGCATCGATTCGTAAGGACCCCAGCGACGTCGACGGTGGTACGCTACAGCCCGTAATGCAGACATGGTCTACTGCATGGAAATTACTTTTAGGGAACTATTGCCGACCCTGATCGGAAAAAACCCATCTTGTTTCGCGAGCCAAGCAGAACGATGAATTAACGAAACTAGGAACGATAGATATACGAATAATACTAATATTTTCTAATACGTTTCACTCATATTGAAAAACGCACCTACTTTGTTATGTCGCTTAAGTAATATATAGGGCAGTGTCCATTCCAAACTTGCTTCAATAGCTGAATGTGCCAGCCAATATGAGTACATTGACGTTTTTCTGTTACGTTCTAGGAGCTTGCGAAAAAAAACCTGCGTAATAGCTACAGAAATTGTGGAAGAATAATTATGGAAAGCGGCAAAATCATCTTTCGGAGACCGTGGATCACACGCCGTCTGAGTTGCCACGATGTGCGTGAATAATTGCTTATTACGAACGATTTATAGACTGATAGCATCTGAAGTAGAACATGTACTTATACCTTACAAATACTTATCAGATCACCGAAGTACCCCGGCAAAATACTGTAGATGGCATTCATGAGAACAGAACTGCAGGCCTACGACTGCGTTATTTATTGGCTTGAGTAACGAATAAATTGAGCAAAACCATCCTCTATTTTACGTTCTAAGCTCCGCGTCTTCTACGGAGTACGAGTGAAATTAGTTAGCTGTATCGTCCCTTGTCGCAGAAGGAAAATCGAAAGCAAAAAGGACAAAAGTTAAAAATAGGGATAGCAGGAAGAAAATGGCCTGCAATAAACGCTTGCGCGACCAGTCGCCTAACAAGGAAACTTTGTCATGAATTAGCAGCAGCAGCAGCAGCAGTAGCATCCAAAGGAATGATTCGTTGTCGAACCGAAGAAATCTAGTGAAAATTGACTGAGAGCTGTTGTGCCATATATCGTCTAGATACAACAGACGTTGGCGATCACGATCCGGGCAGAAGCGCCCGCAGCGATGGCGGCAAACATCACGACATTCTGCCAGTGAGGGAGCCAGATAACCAGACAGACTGAATCAGTAATCCATTTTCCGTTGCTCGATCCTGTGCTGTTAATTTGCGCGCTCGGCCAATGTAGAAGCTAAGTCCATTCTTTCACAGATTTCACTTATGTCCCCATTACCAATACCAGCAATAACGGCACCAACATCTCTGATCAAATCATCACTGTAGTGATCGGGCCGAACCGAACGTATAGGCTGCCCTAGAATACGTATCGCTTGTTCGACTCTACGTTATGGCAACGCTTGAGATTTTCCTTACAGTCTGCAACTACCATCATGATCATTTTGAGACCATGATGCTACTATTGTTCGTTTCGTGTTTGTGCTAATATTATTATATGCACAGCTTACCATCGTAAAGATCAAGATGACGGACACAGAGCTGGCGTAGGAGCAGAAGAAGGCAAGAGGTAAGGGAACGTGCGGGTGCGCGACACTTGAAGAGCGCTAAAGGTTTTGACGGTGGCGATGAATACGGACGCCTCGAGTCAAGTAAGAATCTGCGCTGACTTGAGCTAACTTTTTTGGATAGATGAACGTATGGTTGTAGTCGGCAGTCGATTAGTAGACTGATCATGTATTAGTGCGGTAAGCGGGTCAAAAGAGGTTAACGGCGTAGTGGGTTTTCTATCTCTTGCGATATGGTTCCGATGTAAACGGAAGTTAACCTGTGTTTAGGCTAAGTCCACAATCCAGAGCCAATCTGTTAATAGTTACCGCCGATCGCTGGCGACTTCCTGAAGCGATCGAAAAGATGGTTCACGATTTTCATTGTTAAAACAATTAAGCACAATTATGGTAATAATAATAATAATAATAATAGTAATATTGCGATATTTTTTGAGAACGATACGTGTACACGGGGGTAAAGGAATAGCAACTAGAATCACACCGCTATCTCTGCACCCTATCTGACGTCGTTTCATCCGAACGAAGCCGTTAAAAGGACACAATGATTTTTAAGGTTGTTCGACGTGGCGCGCTAGCCTCGTTTTGTTATAATTTCGTTATAATTTTGCTCAAATTTGACTAGTTTATGTTAACTCTTCCATAGTGGTAGTAGTAATAGTAGTAGTAGTAGTAATAACGCTGAGCATAGCCATATTTGAATGCGAAGATATATTCTAAACACGCGTTTATCCAGCAAGATCGTTGAGATTTTATTTGGGCACCTAGCGACTTCTAAATGTCAAAACTGGTGTCCTTAACACTCACAGGGATCTCATGCTTTAAGATTGCCAAGACTTTTGTTCGTCAATATATCCGAGGCAAAAACACGCATCACGATATAACATCCGAGGGGAGACGTCTTCATTTGAGTTGGGGTAATCTAAACATGGAATCATCAATGACGACATCAATACATTGTACTGTAAATATGAGGCTGGCATTACTAGATGGACTTGAGAAGACAAACGTAGTTATTTATGAACGGCTCGAAGAAAGTCGTCAGAATGACTATTTTCTTATGATTAATGTTTCAAAAAACCCACAGGCGATTTCTAAAATCTACTTTGTTTTTTGTGGTACGTGTTAGTCGAATAATGCTATCAGTCTGTACTACATTAGTTATACATGGTCAAAACAGTAATAAATTCTATATACCGTTCAAAGACGAATCACACGTAAAGGTCATATATGTTCCGAAGCATATATAAAAACCGATGGCGCTTTGGGTTTGTATCTCGAATTCGGTGTTCGCTCTCTGTGCTACGATACAATAAAAGCCTGTTTTTAAAATGACTGCACCAAATAAACAACACCGTTCGTGTCGCCCGGACGTAATCATCCTCTACTTAGGCCTAATGAATTTGGTGATAGGGGTGGCGTTCCTTAGGGGACCAGCTAATTTTTCTGTGTAGGCCATGCGAAGTTGATATATTAGCAGACATAAGCTTTAGATTTTCGAGCACGCTCCAATCTGTCCTTAATTCTTTTCACCAAGTAAAATTTAATACATTTTTAAAGATGAAATGAATTTAGGTTACACCGAATTGACGTATGCACTCAAGAGATTCAGTAGAATAGTATAAAAGTTGGACACTTCCTAGCCAGCAATCTCCATACGCTTCGTTTCGGTTTAATAAATATGATCAGGATAAATAAAAAGAACGAATTAGATATAGATAGTTCGTATTGTAGCGGGCTATTAAAATAGAAATAGTGGTACTCACACGTCGTCGTTGTCTGCCACCTGGCGAACATTTCCAAATTCGTTGATGACGTTTAACATATTCTGATCATTATGCTCTCTCTGCCATAATGTCAGCGGATCCTCCTGACCGGTACATAAGGGTATCGGACCAATATATATAACGATCGCCGTATAGATGAAATAAAATGACCGTAATGTGGGCACACTTGAATGGAATAGGTTCAGACAACGCCAGATGGATGTCGATGCGCCTAAGTCGAATCTCGCTTCCATCTTTGTCCGGATTTACATAGCTTCGTTGAAGGTCACTACCTGCAGAAGCAAGAAACAATTTTGCTGGCTAATTAAGAAAGGGAATCTATCAGCTAAGTAGGCAGTAAGTTAGTCGTTTCTAATCCTACTTATTAATATCTGGCATACACTAGGTGGCCATGTTATTGAGCAGTGGTGTCTTAAGGAGGACAACTGTGGTGGCCTAGGTTCGGCGACGGGCGCCGGCTGTCTCTAGGGCACTATTATTTAAATCTACATTATATAGAGGAATATATGAATGATCTATATAATAGAATTTTTTTTGTGCATTGGCGGCCACTGATCATAAATATATAGAGCATTGTTAAATGATGACACTTGAGTCACTCTGAACAATTCGCTCAATTGGCCAGCTTGTACCTTAGTTTGGATGGATACCTCTACATAAATGTATCCGCCGCTGTATGCCGGCTGCGTCGCCGATCGCTCTGTCATACTATTTCAGTGTTGAATTGTCCATTTTTCTGTTAGAATAGCGTCGAAGTACTACGTAAATCTTGGCTACGTCTGACATTAGAAAACGACAGCCTCAAGGAACGAGTTTATCATGAAGGTTGGCCCCCAAATCGGAGGTAACACGAACGCATATGGGATTATTTGGGAAATTCAAGTGCGACATAACTCTTTTAGTGTCGTGTGACATCGATCTCTTACTCCAGTGGCCCATAGTGGCAAACTATTTAGCAGTGTCACCAGGGCTGAAAAGCGAATCGTACCACAACGACCCAACAACAAAAAGAGAGAAGCAGACGAATTCGAGCTAATTCTGTAATTATAATAGTAATAATAACAATGGGAATCATTGTTATTATCATCTAACTAGTTTGGTTTACATAACTTTGGGGAGCGGGGGGCTGGTCACGCGTACCGAGGTTTGTTTCTTTTGAGCTATCTATATATTGTAGCTATTTTTACTTCGTTCTAGAACAGAGTAAAGATCATTATAATTATAACTATATATATATGTAAATGAGTAATCTATTCCTTAGACAAACTATTATTTTCCTTCGAAACACTTTCCGAGTGGATCAAGCATCCTAATACGAGAATTCAGCCATATTGCGTCATTATCTCCAAGAAGAGTCTGTAGATTTAGTGTCATTGAACGCGATGGCTTCTTTACTGTCGTTAATGTACGAGAAGGTTTTTTGTGGATATTAAATAATTACTTTAGATAATTATTAATGACATCCTCATAGCGAGCAGATGAAAATGGCGGAAGACAAAAGAAATGAATTTAGCTGAAAATATATTTATGGAACATAAGCAGAAGGGTAATATTTGCAAACAAAAATCGGTTTACATACCAATTTCAATGATGTTTTCATCGCCGCTAAGCGCCAAACGAAATAGAAATACTGCGTGAGCGATATCGTAGTCACCCTTATGGTTATATACGTATAATAAAGTCAGCTTTCTTTAATTCGATGATGTCTTTGAGCAGAGGTAATTCTAATATCACTGTCCATAAAACGCCTCCAATCGGGCCTGCCCACAAAGGGTATTTTCGCTACTTCGATAATACGTAAGTGCTCATGAAATAAGGCTTTGTCTACGTTGCATTTTACTAAAGTACGACGCGATGAGGCACGCACTTTGCCCATTAGTGTATACGGGGTACTTTGCATCAGTAGTTCGGAACGGCTTTTGCTCTAACAAAAAATCTACCTGGTTTGATTTAGATTATACCTTCGACCCTGTTGCTTAGCAATGAACCGACACGTAAAATTTTCCTGATGAAAATATACACTCCATAATAAAAATACTTGTTCATGTTGCTTTAGAACACGACTCAGTCGTACGTAGCCATAATGCACATTTTGAGCGTTCCGGAGGTGAGCCTATTATTCGCTAAATCAAGCAGACGCTCCTTAATAAAAAAAAAAAAAAAATATATAAATATGACAGCCTCTAACGTTGTCGAAAACTGTACGCTTCATAAAAGCCGACGGGTGTTTTTTTTTTTTTTTTTTTTTATATACGGTTTTAGTTTGATTTTAAGCGCGCAAACCTTTTGTCTCGACCCGGTTCTCCGAGTTTGGCCGACACGTCTTAACGTACATTACAGTTACCCTTCCTCGTAGTCTGATGTTCCGGCGAGCTCCCATCGCGTGGAATTGAACATGGGCGTTTAGCGTCGTATCATTTGAACTAGCCGTAATATTCCCGACGTCCTTTGTACGACTCGGCTTAAATATCGTTGTTGAAGCTCAGCTTTCTTGTGCTAGCGTCAAGATTAGGCCAGAACGAGGATTCGGACCAATCATCCGTTTAAGTCGAGCAACTTAATCAGGCTCGAACTATGGAGTGAACGTCCTGGTTAGAAAATGTCATTGCCAACAAACTTCATGCGCTTTCACTGCTGATCAGTTTTTGATGGGAAGACAACTTTCAAATGATAGCACCGAGCCGAGCTTGGAGTCACGTGCTGTTGTTAAGATAGCTCTTTTTATCTAGCTGATCAAGTAGAAGAGGCGGACGAATCATTGTATAATTCGATAGGATGAGGGCCTATTCGATGAAGCGATTTTAGCGCGGCCAAAATCAGTAGTTAAGGCTTCATCCGTGAGGCCGTATAACACTGCTGATACAGCAATTGAAAAATACAAGCTCCATCTTCTCGAAGTCGGAGAGTGCAATGGCAGATTGATCTATATTTAGCAATTTCACAGATAAATCAGCACGGCTTGATACGAGGATGCGTCCCCAACGTTGGTAATTGAACTGGCCATACACTTTTATATACATCTCGCAAAGACATCTAACCCAATGCCACGTGCGGATCGATAGAAACGGCACATGGATTGTTTACGGATTGATCAAACCCTAGGCCCCCTGAGTAAGCACAAGGCACATAGAGCTCATCAGGCAGAATATTGTTGCCATTTTGACGGCTGAATGTGAGTTATGTTTTTTTTTATTTAATCATATATGTCAGGTACTGTTATGTCGTTGTCGGGCTTTGAACTATCGACTTCGTCCTGTTTAGCCAGACGTTTAGCTGTTCCAGCCAACATTAACGTATGTGCGTGCTATGGAACACGGACATTAATAGGCCCACGGCCGTTTTTGAAGGCGCTCTCGACCGCTTGGTTAGAATCAAATGGTTAACTTTTTCGTCGTATTGCCGTAGGAAGTGCTTCTTCGTTTGTCCAATCTATTGAGCTACGAAACGAGAATAACACCTATTGGCCAGAGACTAGAATCTACGAGGATTCATTCATAATTCTTGTTCACGAACAAACGAAGCGACAGGAACAAACGATAGCACGAACGTATTTTTTAAAATCTTACTTCTACTAACTGCCTGTTTACATTCAACACAGTACATCTGGAAGATAAACATAAATTTAATTTGCGAAGGCGGTTATTTTTTTTTCCCGCCAAAGCACCTTTTCAGATTTGTGTGTGTGTGTGTGTGTGTGTGTGTGTATATTTTTAATGTTATTTTGTACAGTGCTCATACGTTCATCATATGATTAGTGGCTGTGACAGAGACGATTCCTTATCGACTTTAGAAGCGATCTTATTTTATCGCTTGAAATTATATAAACGCCTCTAGATACTGATGTTGGGTCCTTAACGGCGAACTACGGCCAAAAACGATCAAGGTCTAGAAAAAGTACGCATCGGCTTTCCTACGGACGTGGGTCTAAAGCTGTACCTACATGAAGTTTGCCATCGATTAGCTACAAAAACCCGCTCTATAGGATCAAATACTAAATAGCTTATTTCTAGCAGAAGGCAAAACTGTAAATATAATAAAGGAAGACAAAATAATAACAGTATACAAACAACCTGTAACATCACCGAGTAAGCGAAAAGTTAATAACTCCATTATTCTATAATATTCTATCAAGCCGATTCTTTTGCCTCCAAATAGGTCGCCTCGCCTTATTGGTTGAGATGATTGCTTTCACTCTGATTTTACATAATTCTAAGCGTTTTCATATAGGATCTTCACTGCTTCTTTTAGCAAAAACCAGCGACGCTCATTTAGCATATGAAAGAAGAAAAAGCCCCAGAAATACGAAATTTTCACCAACAAGACACGCTAGCGTCCCGAGGAAGCCAGACGTATCAGAAACTGATTTTTGCGGCACGGCTAATGAAGACAACGACTCATGTTGATGAAAAGTACAAGCGCAGTCATTCGAAAACGATTTTTTACAAAGACGATCATCACGACAGCTGAATCTTCACGGTACGTAGGTAGGTAAGCAAGCAGCTTCAATGACAGAGAACGCGAAACAATCGCCAGAATGACGAATTACAACTCCCCCTGGCAGCCATTTGCTTTCTACACACAACAGGTGGTTGGTGCACGCTTTCATAGGCACAATGCGGAAATCGACCGTTTCCCCATAACCCGAATTTGAACGAAAATACCATCAGAGTCAATGACAAAGCGGTGGACACCCGCTCGACACGGTCGAACCAAGAAACGCGCTTGAACCATCGTCAAACAGACACAACAGCTAGATGAATTCGATTCGATCGCGGTGCCCGATAAATCATCGTCATATACTCGAGTAGGAAGAGAAAAATGTTGAAGAGTTGTGCAATTGTGCATAGGCAGAAGCTTCTGCATCAGTGGATGAAGGGAAGGGACGAATCATAACTCCGAAGCATTTGTAAGACATTTACATATTTACGATTTTCTGCAGTACAAAAACTTCAACAAAACCTCTTCTTCAATCCTGTACATATTGCCAGTTTAACTAATGGAATACGTAAAGAAGCTTGTGATAAACTGAACTCATTTAAGCAGCATGCATGAGGGCGTCCTTGCAATGGTGCCGTGTGAACGCATTTGCGGGTTAAACTAAGGGATATATAGGTGGTTTCAGATTTGAATCTTGGCATAGGCAAACCCAGATCATCCAGTAAAATTCGGAGTAGAAGGAAAAGCTGTGAATACCAATATAATCTCTTTTCCTGCTCAGTCCCGTCAAATTTCTCCTGTTAATGCTCTTGTGACGATGCAGTGGTAAGGTGTTTGCTTTTCAGGGACAAGTTAGACAATCTAGGTTTGAGGCCGGGCATAGAAACGCTTCATTTTGTGTTCTCAGCCAGTTGTCCGAAGCAATGCTCAACGGCAGTATCGGACGTGAGGCTCGAAACGTCACTTATGTTAAGACATATATTATTACAGGTCTTGAAGGCAGGTTTTAAACAGGCCACCGAAGTCTATCGTAAAAAGGACAGCTGCTAGTCATCTATGGACGAGGCTGGATTTGTATATGTAAATAAATGTTGTAAAGGTTATCGGTAACGTAATCAAAAGGGTGAGCGTTGATAACTAGCTCAGTTTACGTTTGATGAATCGGTCGTAAATCTAAAAATTGTCCCGCAATTGTACAGTAATTATATTGAAAAATTATATGTATCAGTGAAAAGAGAAAAATTCTTCAGAACAAGTAGCCTTTGTCATAAAACGAAATTTGCGATAACCATTGCCGTAATAAAAGTAGCTAAAATTGATGTGCCACCTAATACTGATCACGGTGTGTATGGGAAGAGATTAATATTAAGTATAGCCGGACGCTCGCATGGTGATCTTTCAAGAATCAGACTAAAATCATTTTACGGTCGTCACCTAAAAGTTGATTTTAAATATACTAAAAACTATAGTCTATAAGTCAATAAACGTGGGCAGACGTAACCCAGAGTGCGTTGTTACGGCAACCACGAATAACGAACATGTTGGGTATCGCTGGTTCGAATCCAGCGTTAACAGAGTGTAAGTAACTACGAGACAAAAGAATGCTTCTGATTCTATCTCCTTATATTAGCTAAAATAATACTCTTCAATGTAAAAAGGTAAGTAAACTTGTCATCTGTGGTGTTTTGCTGTATAATTCCTTTAAAATCGCCCTGAGTACTATTGAAATAGAGGAATGGGGCAAATACGGAATTCCGTTTTTACTACATACTAACGGCGATTGCGTTATATGAATGAATAGGCCGGAAAAAGATTCTTCCATAAATAAACAGACTCGTTGTCGAATTGCCCTTCTACTTGTGGACCGAAGACTGCAGGCCGAGGACGTTGCGGACTTCAATTGTAAATCTGAATTGACAATAATTTTCAAGCCATTTTAGCAACATCCACGAAGCAATACGTGGTTGTCCTGGCACCCTTTCAACATTGTCGCCATACGGAGTACAGTATAACAGAAAAAGGAAATCTAGATTTATGTTTTATGGTTTTGTACGCTTTGCAGCTGGCTCACACTCTTTTTAGGGGGGACCGTCTACATAGATGAAGACTCAGCCTCGAAGGTTGGACCTGATTTTGCCAGAACAGCAACCGGCTAATTCCCAGTTCCTCCCTTATTGGCTTTAACGGATTATAATTGGCAAAAAGTATCTGATGAAAAGGTCGTTATTGTTTCCCTTATTTTGACTTATTCATTTCAGCTATGCTTTGAAGTAATGCTATATTTAAAATACCCATTCATCCATAAGTTGCAGAGCGTTACCTTCATATTGAATGTGACGTCTCTTCGTGCTAACGTCATTCTGACAACTAAAGACGTCTCACATTTACGCATTGTGTGCGCTTCGCTGGAAAGTGCAGGAAGCTTCAGACCTGATTTACCTCTATGGTGAAACTACAATACAAAAAAGTGAACTCGATCCTTTTCGAAATACTCGGTTAAACATTTCCATTTTTTTCTATGGACAGATTTAGACTTAACGCTGTTAGAGGAGCGAAATTCACTGACTATTATAATCGGAGCAAAAGATGCATATCAATGAAAAAGATACAACTTTTATACATTACATCGTTTTCTTTTACGATTTCGGAGCAACATATTAGTCACCTTGAAGCCTTTTAGCTATTCTGAACAGATAGGACTCAGTCGTTCTGTAGCTTCTTCCGATCGGCTTCAACAAGTTTAATGGACTGAGAAGTTCTTTAGATGAATTCGGATTTGAACAAAAGTGTCTAATGGAATTGCTGATAGCAACTTATTTCATGGTTCTACTCGCAAAAGAAGCCAAACAAGTTATGGTATCAGTAACAACGAGAACGAATTATTTGCCAAATGTCGTTTATGCAGGAACTGAACTAGGCGGGACAATGCCAAAGCTACGCTATTTAAATTTCAGATAAATATATAATACATTTAAAAAAAAATAAAAAAACAGAAAAATAAACCGGATAAACATGATCGCCATCGACTAACGCTTTTCACACATGAGTGCTGGTAATAAATTCTTAATTGTACACCAGGTGTGATAAAAATTTTGTAAAGAAAGACAAGTCTTAGCTTAATTTTTAGATACACCCACCGTTGAGATTATTGTAGCCGATGTGTTTCCATTAACTTCGTATTCCTATTAGTAGTCCCGTATGTAAGTTCTTGTACCACGTTTCGAAGCACCACACTTGTCCTTCACAAAAATCCACCCGTAACGATAGGCCACTTGTTCATTTTGATTTGCACCGGTATACACCACTGCGTTGGCCTATCAGCAACAAAGCATCGAGGCCCATTCAGATCCTGTTTTATTTTGCTCCGCTGCGAAACTACTACTATTATCTAATTAACAAAAACGAATGACTGCAATTTTCTTGTTTGTCGACAAATACCTTATTAATAAATGCTTATTGGCAGATGTATTTTTGTTCAGTAAAAATACTATTATTTAGACGTCGCCTATGGCACCATGGAGCCGAATCGAGTACGCAATTTCGGATAATCGCCACAATCCTGTAGCGTCAACCTCAAGTCCTAATACAGCTACATGGCCGCTGTTAGGTGAGAGACAGGCTAACCCGATAGTACGGACTCAATACAATGACATGATAGCCAGTACGTGTTAGTATACAGAGTACACGTTTGTGCGTGCATCGACTGCCTAAAAAGCATCCGCCCCCAAAAACAGACCTATGAAATCGACCCAGTCTGCGCTATGAGCGATTCCATGAGAGATCTGCGTGTCGACGGCCACACGTGGCGAGGGTCGACGGGAGAGGGAGCTTAGCTAATGGAAGACGGTAATTGTCAACATGATTAGGCCACCAGACAACGGACAGTTACCGGTTGCGCAAGTCGGTACCGTGAGCCGCGGAGATAGCTGAACACGCGCATAAAGGACACAAACCGGGTACTTATGACTACGACTACTTCTGCTGATGTGTGTGTATGATATTATAGCTGAAGGAAAAGCATCTGGGTGGAGGCCTATAGACGAGGAGGCGGTCGACTGGCGATGGGGTCTCCCTATGAGGTTGGAATGAACGATGCTGCAACAGCAGAGAAAAAGAGCTGCTCTTTGTGGCGATGGTGATGACTTTATAAAAGCAGAAATAAAGTTTATAAATGCTGAACATTTAATGCATGGACTACCCAGATTCATAGAAATTCAGCACATTATCGTTCGCTTCTATGGTAGGAAGATCACCTAGTGTCCTAATAGCAGGTGGTGTAGACGTTTCCGCAAATGATTTCTGTATTTTCTTTTGAAAATAAATATAATTATTTTGGTAATTTATAGCGAATTTGGTTAGTTTAGTGTATTTTGGAGCAGTCAACAACCAGGTGCCTCAAATCCGATTTAGATTCGAAATTTTTCATTCTGTGAGGTGTCAGCACACGCCTCTAGCTTCCGGTACAAGTGTTATTCTCTTAAAAACAATGTTGCATCAGCGATGCCTCAATGCATAATAACATCACATACAAACTTTTATTACCTAAAGAAATAAGACCAAATGAGGGAACCCCCGAACCTATAGAATGCTTGGACGACGCTAGTAAAGGCTAACGGACAGCTGGCTAGTTTTCAGGGGCTCGCTAGCAGCGATGCTTTTTCTAGCTGTTCGATTATTGTCAGCGTAGAATTTTTTTAGTGGGTATGATTGGATCTTTTCGTTAGATTCATACCCCATTTGGGTACTGAGATTTGCAAAGCATTTTGAAAACACGATCCAGAAAAGCCATGACATTCCAAATCGACTAAATCGCGCTCGACCTACATTAGGGGATTATCATTATAAGCTTCACCTTTTCATGTAACGGTCCGCCTACTGACAAGACTAGATCGATTTCAAGGGCTCGTCAGCTTTATTTTTCTAAATTAGAATGCAAGTTTTTTTTTTTTTTTAAATAAAGAAAATCATTTGGTTAAGCCACATGGTGTACGGCAGCTACCAACCAAATCGAGCATTTTTCGTCTGACTGTTCAACTGAAGGCAACTTTCCGAGATGTCCAGGCATCAAAAAACAGTGAGATTTATAATTTACAGCGCATGTCTTTTCCGGGACATGCAGCTGTACCTGTTTGTGTCAATGGGTCGGCAAAAGCATGCAAATCTTGGTCGTTGACAATCGTTGTTCTTCTCTCTCTCTTTTCTGATCGCAACCAGGCCTACAACTAATTTTCAGCTTTCTTAATCATAGGTGACCTAGATGATGGAACTAAGTCGGCTGTTGACTGTTGCTTCAGAAACTCCGTCACACTCCATAACAATTAGATGTATTAAGTTCGACCAGATACAGTTACTCTTCACTCGTGTATATATACAATATACACACATTAGCAATCTAACTAATGGTACTGCAAGGTCTGCCCACTTAACAACGAATCTCAGCATCTACTATATATTACGACTGTAAGAAAAATACGACATAAAATTTATTTATGCTAACGAAATTTACTTGGGGTATTAACGAAAGCCCAAAATTAGTAGAATAACTCCGCATTTGCTAGCTGCACCATAACAGATACCATTCGAGGAGTCTGTGCGGCCAGATTCGTTTTATATGCCTTCAAAAGGCATTGGCCCTTAATGTGCTGTTCCCGAGGTGTCTGACGAGCGTGACAACGCAACGCGGCTACAGCACACTTACTTAGCACAATTTATACAAAAAAAAGTCGCTATTTTACTTGAAGCGAAATTTCATATTACATAACCACACATAACTTCCCAAGTTATGTTCATCGTATTACTCGTACTCGATCAGGTAGCACTATCGCGAAACTAGGCGCGCAACTTATCAAGTTAGCACGTATGCTTGCATCGTTTTAACTGAGCTCAAAATTTACCTTTTTCTAGATTCCTTTTCAGCTTTTTTAAATGTATGAGATATAATAGATTTTTGGCCGCATCTAAATTTTACGTAGCCCATAGTTTAGTGTGTAGAACTTCGAATCTAACTTTATAGATCCAAGTGTAAAGTCCGATGGCAAAGTACACAGTCGTTCGCTTCCTCTATCGTTAGGCCTAATCTAAGGCCGTGGGTGATAAAATCATTTTTAGTTAAATAGAACACGTCAGAGCTGGATATAATACGTTCAAACCTCGGCGTCCTTAAAAAAATTATCCACCTCGTCGACAGTGACACAAACCTTCCAATCACATATGAAGGTGCTTGATGCGTGGAGATAAATAAATTGGCATTTCTGCGGGCCCCCAAGCTCTCCTATATGCATCAAAACCGATGGATACGATTTTGCGGTATATGGAAATCCAACAAGACAAAAAGGATCCAAGAAAACGAACGATATCCGCTGGTATCCACGAGAACAAAGAAAGGGAATTGTCTGGCTGTTTTTGATTTCGCACTTTTTTTGAGGGTCGCTAAAACCGGTAGTTGGTAAACTACGACACGTGTAGCCTTCAGTTCAATACTACACGTCCCAAGCTCTATCTTCCTAAGGTCTGTTTTTAACTATGAGCAGATTTATGCCACTTTGAACGGTACAGCTCCAGTGACCGACTACCGTTACAGACAGATCTTACGGTTTCGGCCTCAGTTCACGCTCTATCCGCATTGTGGGACGGGTCCTTCAATATGAACACTTTTCGCTTTTATAGAAATAAAAATAGCTCAAAAAATGACGAATGGATGAGATCTGCTACCTGCCTGTGGCAACGTTGAACTGTCTTTACCGGGATTTAAAAGATGTGTTTATACGGATCTTGTACGGTCATACTTACCGGTACGTAAAATACTTATTGAACTGTCGCACTCTAATGAATTTGGCTGCCGATTTCACCAAATGAAGTATTTGAATTTTCTATGTTCATTCCTATTAAAATGAACCCGTAGTATTCTTAGATCTATTCAGTGTTACCTGGATTTATAGCCATGTCTTCAGGGCTAAACGAAACTAGTGATTGAGTTTCATTTGAAATAGATATCTGGACAGTCCTTACGTTTAGTAGTTTAACAAATTCGTTACTAGACCACACGGGTATCTGACGTTGTATGCTCTCGTGTCCGCAGTATCTCTTCCTCAACAAACTTTAGCCCTGTCTGCACCTTCAAATTCATTCCGGTTCAACTTTCACGTAGGCAACGAAAGAGCTAAAAGAAGCTAGCAGTGTTGTTGTGCCGACCTAGATAGCTAAATCTCTGGCTTTGAACTCGAAAAACTACAAGTTTTTGCCTCGTGGTATGGTACCTTCCGCTATGGCAAGCGTGTTTTATTTATTTATTTTTTTTTTAATCTCACTGACAAATTTTGTATTGATGCTAATCTGGTTTTTAACATTTCTATAAATATTGTATAAAAGGTTTTATTTACGTCCCAGCTTTTCACAGGGCTTCTTTGGGAAGTTTCCACTTGCCCCCCTGGTCGGCTCTTTTTTTCCAAAGACAAATGATGCATGCTGGAGCTTGGATAAATATAGTGAAACGAATATTTGCAAGTGTTACCGGCGAAGTAATCAACGTTAATTCCTGTGACCTTTTCTGAAGTGCCACGGGGAACAAATGTATAGATTAGATACGAACCGAATTTTTTTATATTTCACATGCTTAAAATGAGTCGTACACATTATACACATTAACATCATCTGATAGCGTTGTTAAACAAACATCCTAAACTATTCCAGCATCACCACTAGATCAGAGTAGTCCATTTGTTAGGAGAGCTATAGTTGTATCGTTGAGGTCCTGTGCTAAAGACGAACGCGCTTATCCGAGCGTTACCCACTCGCGCACCACACTCGGTGCGTGGCAAAGGCAGAGCTTGCCTACGTATCAGAAGGGGGGTCAAATTGATATTGTAAACAAATAACACTTTTTTTTCGTCTTCTACTGCTCTATACACGTGTTAACTGACTGTGAACTCCTTCTCACCATGCGAATTTACCAAGTAGGCGAATATCATTATTGTTAATACACACTTATTAACTAGGTTACCTTTGTAAATCTACGATTATTTCAAATTAGAATATTTAATAATGGATAAATTAACATTTTGATCCTTTTTTTTTTTTTAAACGCTTACCGTTAAACGAGGACGGTTAAGCGAGCTGAAAATAACGGTAGTGACAATCTGGAATCTTCAACTTTCAATATATGCGATCTTGTTTTTTAACACTTCCGCTATTGAAGCCATCGTTGGAGAAATGAAACGGAACTATTTTGGTATATGGAATATAATAGCATAGGTTGGTACCTAGGTAAAGCTGGTGTAACAATATCGTATGCTTTTCTGCAAGAGGAAAATAGAAGGATTACAATGAAAAATCGGATTGATTGATTGATTGATTAATAACTAACGAATGATTGTAAATTCGGTGAAACAATACATGTAGATTTCACTCCAACAGTTCGAAACGTTATCGTGCTACGAAGGCTACCCAGAATGGCTCTATCACAGCACTGTTTCCAGGCCAGTTAAGCCTTTTGCCTTAAGGTATCGAATACACATTCAATGCCTTTGGTCAGACCAAAAAGTGATGAGCGATATTTTCCCATATACTAGTGTAATTTTATAACAAACGTTCGACGACGACTACTCGTGTTCGTCTGGCTTTCATTTCTATAACGTATTCGCTGATAGAGTTGGGACCTTGTTAACAATTAAAAGGTCCTCTTATGCAGATCAGATTTTATGTACTGTCAAAAAAAGCGTGCAATGAAACTTCTAACGAC